ACACACACACACACACACACACACACACACACACACACACACACACAACAGAGTCACATGACTCAACATCTGCTGACGGTTCGACTCACTCAGCTGCAGTGAATCTATTAACGCAGGAGAGACGTGTTATGAAGTGAAGTGTCTGAACCAAAGAAGAGAAAAATAATAATTTTAGACTTTGATCCATTTTTAGATTAAAACATAAATCATAATAGCGGCCATAATTTGTAAGCAATGAAACGCACTCATGTTTGTAGAACATTTTCTCTGTTGTCTTGTCGAGCAGCGGTGAAATAAAACGTGCAGTTCCTGTGAGGTTCAGGAGCTGCACGTCACCGTGTAGAGCTAGATGAGCGTAGATGCTGCCTGTTGTAAATAAACAATGGAGAGCCCAGTCCTGTCCGTCCCTCCAGCTCAGCCTTCGCTGCAGGGTTCTGTTGAAACGGGTCAAAGCTGGACTGAAGTGGTCTTCTGAGCTCTTTGTTTGATGTGATCATGATTCAGGTTCTAGGATCTTTCAGATCAGACAGTTGATGGAGTCACTAACATTTCTACATCTCAACATCTGTCTCTCACAGCTGTGGCTCTGCAGGGTGCGTATACCCAAACCCTCACTTACCTCCATTTCTGAGCTCAGTCTCCTCTTCAAGTGACAGGTGTTGAACTCGTCGGGTCTCCTGCGTGAAACCATGTAAAAACATAAAACTGTGAACTGCAGAGTCTTCTGCTGCTCGCAGTTCAAGAATAAAGAGTCTGACTCGTAGTTTCCACACAGCGACTGTTTGTTTGAGGCTTACTTTTCAGTCTGCCTTTAAAGGAGGGACTGTGTGCTGACCCAACTGAGCCAGACCTTGGTTCTCCTTAGACTTCTTATGCAGCTCAAATGTTAAAATGTCGGCATTTTTATGAGTCTAAATTCTGAAATTGTTGTTTGTCAGGAACTGGAACCATTCGACGTTTTTCATGCGTTTTCTTCAAACTCGTATTTTCATTAAAACTAAATCAAGTCTTTGGGTCTCATCTCTGCAGGTTCCTGTCGTTATGGCGTCCAGAACCAAATGGGGGGCGGTGAAGGAGCATCTGACCAAAAGCCCAGGTGACGACCCGGATGCGCTGCTGGAGGCGAACCTGGAGAACGCCGACCCCGAGCTGTGCATTCGCCTGCTGCAGGTGAGCCCGTTAGCTCCGCCCTCAAACCTGACGAGCTTTAACGACTCCACAGTAACAGGAAACTGTTCCCTTCAGGTCCCCACCGTGGTGAACTACTCGGGTCTGCGGCGACGGCTGGAGGCCAGTAAGGAGTCCTGGATGGTCCAGTTTCTGGAGCTGCGGGGTCTGGACCTGCTGATGGAGGCGTTGGAGCGCCTGTCGGGTCGCGGCTGCGCCCGGATCGCCGACACTCTGCTGCAGCTCACCTGCGTGGCCTGCATCCGCGCCGTGATGAACTCGTCTGCAGGACTGCACTTCATCCTGGACAACGAGGGCTACGTCAAGACCCTGGCCCAGGGTGGGTGGACCAGGACTGACCCGGTTCTGTGGGTCGCTAACCGCTCAAACAGCAAAAAGCCAAACATTAGGCACAGCTAAGAATTAGCTGAAAGTTCAGCTTTCATGCAGAGAATAGCCAAAGTTAAAACAAGCAGAACAGAAGCTGAAATCAGCAAAACGGTAACTAAAATTAACAAAAGAGTAACTAACAGCTAAAATAACAAAACTGTAGCTAAAACCACAGTAGCTAAAATCTGAAATGAACAAAACAGAAGCTAAAATCTTAAATTTGCAAAACAGTAACTGAAAGCCTAAAATTAGCAAAACTGTTGCTGCAAGCTAAAATTACCAAAACAATAGCCAGTTGCTAAACCCTAACAATGGCAAAAAAAAGTTAACAAAATAGTAGCTAAAAGCAAAGATCAAATGAGCAAAACTGTTCCTAAAAGCTAAAACTAGCAACAAAAGTAGCTAAAAGTTAAAAATAACCGAACAGCTGCTAAAAGTAAAGGTACAAAAGCTGTAGTTAAAAGATTCAGCTAGCAAAACCCTAGCTAAAAATAAATTTAGCGAAACCATAGCTAAAAAGTATGAATGGCAAAATTGTAGCTAAAATGAGCAAAACAGCCACTGAAAGGTTAAATGAAGAAAACTTGTAACGATTCTCTAATTCCAACCATATTTCTGTATCAGAGCCGAATTTATTTGATCATTAACGTCACTCAGTTCTGGAACAGAACCGGGCCTGGACCCAGAACTCGTCTCGGAGGAAAGCAGCTGAACTTGTTCTCTGCTCATCAGTAATGGATCAGCAGCTGGGATGTTTTAAAAATGCAGCTGTGCAACATTTTCTTCAGCAGTGTTGTTCATCGTCACAAAGCTGAACGGCCTCTTGTTTCTGATCGATCCATTGAAAAGCCTGAGCTCGTCGTTGCGTCAAACGGCAGCTGAAACGCAGCTCGGCTGCAGTTTCACTCCTTTATCTGTCTCGGGTGAAGGGAACAGACTGCTCTCAGACACTCCTGCTGCGTTGGAATGTGAAATATTTCATGTTTCTCTGGTTGTTTTTCTGCTCATCACGTTCTCATGCTGTCCTTCATTTCATTATTTTAATTTCACCTTTATTCAACCATTTAAACACCAAGGACAGATGATTATTTACAGAGCCGGCCCGGCGGCAACAACAGACTCTTGTAGGGAAGACAGAACCATGAAATATACAAGTCAATAACAAACAACACAAACTACGTTAACAACAGATCATTGTCAAAGTCCAACAACAACACTACTGTGCATGAGAACATTTGCAACTACAGTAGTCCCTCGCTACTTCGCAGTTCGACTTTCGCGGACTGGCTCCTTCACAGTTTTTCAAAATAAGAGTGGACATGACACGGCTGATTGATGGATGAGCTGCACGAGCAGCATGGATTGTTTATTTAAAATGAATCATTTTAAATGATTTAGCACCTGCTGCACCTGTGTGCAGCCCACAGGTGCAGGGAGAAGCTCCCTCCTCTCTCTGCCACGCCCCCTTTGCTGTCCAGATGCACCGATCAACTTTTGTCTTCCAACTTAAAATTCAAAGTATGTCACATCGTAAAATCTTCATAATCACAAAATATAAAAGTGTTAAAAGTTATTTTTAATTATTTTAGAACTTCATGTTCAGTTGTTTCAGTGTCATTGATCAAGAAGTTCATTTGTGCTCTATGCTGCAGAGCTGAAGCTGCGTGACATCCTGTCATGTCCTGCTGCACTTCTCTTCTCTACAATTTAAATTTAAATACTGTAACATTTTAAACAATCAATTGTTTATTTAAAATGTTACAGTATTTAAATTTAAATAGTTCATTTACACAGAAGGAGGGAGACTGGGAGTGACACTTGAACTTGGACTACTCTATCCCTACTTCAGTTTTTCACTTATCACGGGGGGCGTGCTCCTCTAAACCCCGTGATAATAACCCTGTGTCCTCACTCTTTGTTAAACCAGGTCTCTCTTGTAAATGAGTCCTCGAGGCTCAATGAGACTAACCTGTAGAAATAAAAGTTGAATGAATAAACGAGGGACTACTGTATCTTTAAAAACAGCTTTTAAACAATGTTTAAAACTAGAACCTGAGACAAGTGAGGTCAGACTCGGTTTCTGAAGCAGCTTCCAGTCAGGTGGAGCAGCAGAGCCAGACTTGGTCTGTAGAGTTGTTAACCGCAGAGGACCAGCTGTTATACTTCCAAACTGGTGCTAGTTGCAGTACATGAGTTAAATATGGAGGAGAATAACCAGCGACATCTTATAAATGAGGGTAAACCAGTTGATTTCACCACAAGTAGGTAGAGAAACCATTTAACAAGAGTAGAGGAGACAATGATCTATAAGGAGCATTTGTAACAAAGACAATAGCACAGTGATAAATTGAGTCCAGCTTACAAAGGACACTCTTAACATGTCGGTAAATGATGTCTCCATAATCCAGCACAGGTAGAATGGATTGTTCAACAATGGTGCGTTTTGCAGCCAGTGTAAACAAAGATCTATTTCTACATAGATAACCAAGTCTGGCTTTGACCTTAGATTGTAAAACATTAACATGATGTGAAAAGGACAGAGCTCCATCGGTCCAAATTCACAACTATTTATAAAATGTTACCTCTTCTATAATATCGCTGTTTACAGTGGTGAAGTCCACCGAGGTGGGTCTGGTTCCTCCTCCATGTCCAAACCACATACATTTAGTTTTCTTGGCATTTAAGGACCAATTTAAGTCATAAAAGACCTGCTGGGCTTCAAGAAGACCACATGCAGGGACTTCACAACCTCATCCGGAGTGGAACCAGAAGCACACAGAATGGTGTCATCAGCATATCAATGGATGGAGCCTCACTGACAGAATGTCAGATATCAATTATTGGATGGATGGATGGCTGGATGGATGGATGGATGGATGGATGGCTGGATGGATGGATGGATGGATGGATGGATGGATGCATGCAGTATAAATTTGGAGAAAAGAGTAGACTTGAAGCTGTGAAGGCTCAGACTGGTTGAACTCCACCATGTGACTTTAAGCACCACTTGTCATTTGCAGTGTTCTTATTTGTAGCTCCTGTGGTTTCGTCCCTCTGACGTCCCGTCCCTGTCCTCCCACAGCTCTGGACACGTCCAACGTGATGGTGAAGATGCAGGTGTTTGAGCTGCTGGCGGCGCTCACGCTCTTCGACCCTCAGGGCTGTCGCCTGACCCTGGCTGCCCTGGAGAACTACAAGGTTTAACACGAGACGCACCAAACGTTCTTCATCACGTCCTCATCCTCCCTGGTCCCTCTCATGTTCGGACCTCCTCTGCCTCCACCGTTCTTCTGCCACCTTTTCTGTTGGTCCTCCGCTCGTATCTTTTCTGCTTCGTTGTTTCCTTGTTTCTCTCGTGCCCTCGTTGTTTTAGTTTCCTCTAAACGTCTTCCTGTTTCCTGCCTCCACCCTTCCTGTCTCTGAGCCTTTTCTTCCTGCCATACTTCCTTCAGCTGTGTTGGTCAACTATAATCTGTAATAAGTGAAGATTTATTAATCCATTAAGATCCGTTCTTCTTCCGTATGGTTTTCAGCACCAAACTCTTTCCACCTAAACAAGTTAAATCTGGTCCTCTGGACTTTAAAAAACAAAACAACAACAACAACAAAAGTAGAAACGTTTCGTCTTTCATCCGAAAGACGTCCTCAGTCTGAGGCGCCGTCTTCAGCTCAGTCTTATAAATAGCCATAAATGTCCAGAGGACCAGGTTGAACTTTTTTAGATTTTTCTACCTGGATTATTGTGCATGCATCAGGAAACTCTTTCCACCATTTTTCTTTTAGCTGTTTCAGCGCTTCACATATCAAAACGTTCGGCTCCTTCAGGACCTTTTGGTATTTTTGCAATTTTAACTTATTGAAACATTTAGCTTTGTCGGCCATGTTTTCCTTGTTGAAAACGAATGAAGCTCATTTAAATCCTTTTACTGCTCGATTCAGCTTTTGTTCTGATGCAGCTTCTTTCAGCTGTTTACAGCTAATTTCAGCTTCTTTCTACTCATTTCAGCTATTTTTCTGCTGATTTTTAACCTTTTTTCTACTTTCTGCTAATTCCATTTTCTTTTGTGGCTAAATTCAGTTTTTTGTGATCTATTCAGCCTCTTTGCCTATTTCAGCTTATTCTGCTCGTTTTTGCTCTGTTCCGTTTTTTTTACACATTTCAGCTGTTTTTCTGCTGCTTTCAGCTTTTATTTCCTGCTTTCAGCAAATGTCAGCTGTTCAAATTAATCTCTCATCAACAGTTTAGAGATTAAACTTTTCAGCTGGTTTCAGCTTCTTCAGCTGGTTTCAGCTAAATTAATTAATTGGTCAGCAGCCGCGCTGCATTTTCATAGGAAAAGCATTTTGTAGTTGTTGATGTTCTTCCACTGATTCAGTGGAGAGAACAACCTCCTTCACTCCGAGCTGATCACTGTTTATATTAAATCTTCACAAGGCGGTAAAACATTGGAGTAAATTTTAGCTCGTTAAGCTCTGAGGTTCACTGCTCCTCTGTTTTTAAAGGCTAACAGAACTGTTGAGCCACATTTAATGATATTTACGAGTTTATTTTTCTAATTGAGGGTTCTTGTGATGCTTTCAAAACAAATTGGAAATCAGAAACTTCAATTTTCCGCATGGAAATCCTTTCAAACGCCAGTAATTTGTTAGATTATGTGACATAAATCCTTAAATTCAGCTCCAGCAGAGCTGCTGATGAGTTTGCTGTTAACGCTAAAACAAACAAACAAACAAACAAACAAGAGTTTTAACTTCCTGCTGTCGTGGTGCAGTGAAGGCAGCGTGTTGGGAAGGCTGCATAATCCAACTCTAAACTGGTTCAATCTAGATTTAGACCAGTCAATCCTTCCAGCAATAAATAGCTTACCTCAGACTGATTAATCAATCAGTTGACTGATTAATTAATCAATTAACTGTTATCAGTTGTTACTTAGGCGGTTAGGAAGTAAGAAAAAGGAAGTTGTAGCTCACTCCAGCTCACTGTTTGAGTCTTTAAATATATAGTTTTAAATGTCTGAGGTCTTTGAAGTTTTGTTGAGTTAATATTTATTTAGGTTAAACAATTGTTGTGTTGCATATTTTTGTTATATCACACGTTTCATCTCAGTTTAAAATAAATAAAAACCTTTAAAGTGAGAAGAAAGTAGAGTTGTACATCAGCTAAAGCCTGCTCTGGGCTCTGAAGATCTGTAACAGCCGAAGAAAATCAAACACTTCACCCTCTTTGTGGGTCTGAACGTTTGTTTGTTTGTTTGTTTTCATTTGAAAACAGTCAAACACGTAAATGTGTTCTTTCAAATACAAAAAGTTAAAATTATTATTAATGTAAAGTTTCAGGAGTTGTGTCAAACATGGCACTCCTGGTTACATCATTGTGTCAGGTAAATGTAAATATAAGTAAATAATAAAACAGCTGGACTTGTATTCTGAAGCTGAAGACGTTTCTCTTCCCAGCCAGGAGGATTTATTCATTTAATCAATCAATCAACCTTAATTCAAACATGTCAGGAGTGTGTGGAGTTCACAGCTTTCAACTCTTAAATATAAACCACAAAAGAGAGTTTAAATAAAAGCTGCTGCGGAGGTGCAGCTGCAGGATGTAGAAGCTGACGTGAAGCTTTGAGTCTTGGTTGTGCCAGTTAATATGGAGCGTCAGGGAGCGAGTGCAGAGAAAACTCAGCTCACATCTGTTTGGACCAGCACCCAGGCGTGTTCTGACCCGCCCAGAACCCTCAGCAGAAACACGAAGCCAGACGTCCTCAACATGTGGGCTCAAATCCAGCACTTTGTTTTAAACACACCCGCAGCCGGGTGTCATGGCCGACCTGTGAAGGTGTTCATCAGAGTTCATCAGAGTTCATCAGAGTTCATCAGACCTCCATCTTATGGAAGTGTTTAAAATGCAGAACTTTTTATTAATCTGAAAAGAAAAACGGTTTGATTTGAGCCCAAACACATCCCTCTGTGTGTGTGTGTGTGCGTGTGTGTGTGTGCGTGTGTGTGTGTGTGTGTGTGTGTGTGTGTGTGTGTGTGTGTGTGTGCGTGCGCTCAGAGCCTGAAGAAGCAGCAGTACCGCTTCAGCGTGATCATGAACGAGCTCCACGGCACCGACAACGTCCCGTTCATGGTGGCGCTGATGGGCATGATCAACGTTCTGGTTCTGGGACAAGAGGAGCTGCGGAGGAGGGTCCGGCTGCGACACGAGTTCATCGGTACCACCGAACACACGCCGCATCATCTCCAGTAAAATATACAGCGAGTCCCGCTGCGTGTTTGGTTTGATGCCATAGTTCTCAGGTTGGGATGACAGAACCTTCTTATCGGGTCGGGCGGCACCAGGTTGGTGGAACCTCTGCTTGTAGCTGTGTTGGTTCCAGTGGGACCTGGAGTTCTGTGGAACTGCTGGTCAGTGGTGTAGGATCCTTACTGGGTTAGGAGACCCAGGCAGCAGCACGTGGCTTCTAGGCGGGTTCTGGTCCAAAGTAACGCCTCATGTGCGTGCATGTGGTCCTGCTGGTTCATGAGGTGTAGAACTTAAACGACCAGGTGAGAGCAGCCGAATGTACGATGAGGTGCTCAGTGACTGAGCATGGAAGAAAACTGGAGTAGGTTTTAATAAGGACGTATTTATGAAGGCGGCGCCGTCACGTTCCGCTGCTGGTAGATTTATTCATCTTGAGTTTGTTGTCCACCTCCAACGTGGTTCTTTAGCTGCTGGAATAAAGATGAGCAGATGTGGACCAGTTTTTAATTCAACTTAAGCTGATTATTAAACTGTGCTTCACTTGTTTATGTTTATTATTTTATGTTTGTTTACTGTATTTGTCAATGAACACTTTTCTGCCAGATGATGGTGCTGAGCAGAGCATTCTGGGTATTGTCCAGTACAACCATCAGCTTCGTTGAAGTCCACTTTAGGTGGACAAATGAACCTTCAAATCCTAAATTTATAGTTTGATTAAAAAAAGAGGTAAAGGAGAGACTTTGTCTGTAAATTCAGAGCTTAGTTTCATGTTTGAGCAGGCCGCAGTGAGTCCGGATCCATCAAGTTACTGTGGAATTAGATGTTTTATCAGGTTAGAGACGATGAGTGAACTCAACGTCATCAGATGGAACAACCAGCAGCTTCTTCTGTCTTTTATAAACTAAGCCTTGGACGGACGCTGTGCATTTAACGTCCGCAGCGGAACCGAACGTGACGGAGCTGGAGGAGAAATGAGATGCTTTACAACTTTTGCACAGCTGTCAAAACATCTGTTGTGCAGGAAGAACGGGACATTTGACACCTATGGTGGCCTGCGAGGTTAATTTTCAGGAGCTCAGAGAGACATCAGAACAGAAAGTACAGAACTGAGTGCAGCCACACTTTCTTTTAATTCTTTAAAATGTTCCAAGTTTCTCCGGCTTCACAAGGAGCTTTTTTATTTCTGCTTTTACTTTTCCACTCGTCGGTGATATTTATCATCTTTACGTGATGTTTTTGAAACGTCTGAGGCTAAACAAGATGCACCAGATATAAAAACACCTACCTTCAACTGATGAACAGTATCTGAATGTCATCATCCATATGTCCATCCATCCATCTGTGCATCCATCCATCCATCTGTCCATCCATCCATCTGTACATCCATCCATCTGTGCATCCATCCATCTGTCCATCCATCCATCTGTCCATCCATCCATCTGTCCATTCATCCATCCATCCATTTGTCTGTTCCTCCATCCATCATCCATCCATCTGTCCATCCATCCATCTGTGCATCCATCCATCTGTCCATCCATCCATCTGTCCATCCATCCATCCGTCCATCCATCCATCCATCCATCCATTTGTCCTTTCCTCCATCCATCTGCATCCATCCATCTGTCCATCGTCCATCCATTTGTCCATCCGTCCCTCCATCCATCCATCCATTTGTCTGTCCATCCATCTGTCCATTCATCCATTTGTTTGTCCCTCCATCCATCTGTCCATCCATCCATCTGTCCATCCATCCGTCCATCATTTGTCTGTCCCTCCATCTGTCCGTCCATCCATCCATCTGTCCGTCCCTCCATCCATCCATCTGTCTGTCCATCCATCCATCCATTTGTCCGTCCATCCATCCATCCATCCATCCATCCATCCATCCATCCGTCATCTGTTTCTTGTTCTGAAGTCAGGTCTCGGGGACAGCATCTTGTGCAGGTCCAGACATCTCTCTCCACAGCCTCTTCCAGCTCTTCTGGAGGACTCCAAGGTGTTCGCCTGTCAACCAAGAGACAGTCTGTCCAGCCTGTCCTGGGTCTTCTCCGGGGTCTCCCCTCAGTTGGACGTGTCTGAAAAACCTCCTTAGGGAGGCGTTCAGGAGGCATCCTCAGCAGATGTCTGAACCTCCTCACCTGTCTCCTCTGGATGTGGAGGAGCAGTGGTTCTACTCTGAGTCTTTCCTGATTAACTGAACTTCTCACCTTGTCTCTAAGGGAGAGTCCAGCTACCCTGCAGAGGCTGATTGGGTCTGAGATCTAGTTATTTGTCACTACCTAGGACCACAGGTGAGGGTAGGACCGTAGACCAACCGGTAAAGAGAGAAGTTCTGTAAAACTGCTGAAGCTGCACCGATCCATCTGTTGATCTCCTTGACTGTGAACAAAACCTCAAGATACTTAACTCCTCCACTTGAGGCTGGACCTCACCCTAAAGGTTGCAGCATTTGATGGAACCTTTGGGTGTCTTTGTCCTGGCTACAATAGACACAGTAGAAGAATAAAAATTAGATTCTGGATTCTATTTTCACACCATCAATCATTCTGTGTTTCAGGGCTGCAGCTGCTGGACCTTCTCCCCAAACTGAGGTACTGAGTTTACATTTATCACTTCAATATCACTGATCAATAACGTTACGATCAGTTTATGACTCTGTCTCCAGGGACACTGAGGACGAGGACCTGACCATCCAGTGTGATGCGTTTGAGGACTCCATGGCTGAGGATGAGGAGGAGATGGAGAGACTGTACGGAGGGATTGACATGACCAACCACCAGGAGGTGTTTAACTCGCTCTTCACCAAGGTATCCACTCCTCGGACTCCACCTAAACACCTCCTGCTTCAAGTCTTTCACTATTTCCCAACTTGCTCAAACTTAACTTGATTTAACTGTAGGAGCAACCAACGGCATCAAAAGGTTGTCACGGGTTTTCCTCACAGCACCAGCATCAAATTCAACATGGAGACGGAGACACGTCTGTGTTGCGCCGTTTTCGAGCGCGCGCGGGTGCAGCTACCTCTGTAGCGTTTAGCTAGCGTGTCTGTATTTCTCTGGGGAGTGGGGGTGCGCAGATTGGTTCAGAGTCTGGGGGAGCAGGTTGGCCCTGAGTCTGGGGGCTGCCACAGCTAAAGCCTGAGCCCCTCTGAGCTTTAGCTTTGCCCTCAGCTGCATTAAAATCTTTTGAGTGGAGGATCTCCGTGCTCTGTTTGGGTCGTAAAAGTGCAAAAGGTCCGTTAAATGGTGCCACGCCATTTAAAACCTTAAAATATTCTTACAATCAATATGAACGTGAACACGTTGCCTGTATAAATCAGCTAAAACAGGACACGTGGTCCTTCTTCTGGTTCCCGTTAAAAGACGACAGCAGCGTTCTGGACCAACTGCAGGCAATGGAGAGACGATTGTTCTGATCCAACCTATAAAGAGTTGCAGTAGTCCAGTCTGTTCATGATGAAGGCATGGAGAAGAGTTTTAAGATCTTTACAAAGAATATAAGATTTTGCTTTGGCTACGTGACATAACTGATAAAAACTGGCATAAATTATAAACAAAACAAAATAGGACCCTAAATAGACCCTTGAGGTACACCATAATGAATAGGTTTCAAGGAAGAAGAATATTCCCCCATGGAAACGGAAAAAGGACCCTGTCCGCTATACAAGACTTGAACCAGGCTAAAACTGAGTCTTTAATAAGACCAACAACAGGTTCAAGTCTTGATAAAGGGATGCTGTGACCGACCGTATCCAGGGCAGCGGTTAAATCGAAGACAACTACAGCAGCAGAGCAACCTTAGTCGACCTTTAAAAGAAGATTATTAAAAACCCTTAAAAGTGCTGACAGGGTTTAAAATCAGTCTGGAACTCTTCACAAGCTTCATGAGAATCTAACAAGGTCTGAAGTTGATTAAAAACAGATTTTGCTAACACTTTGAACATGGAGGAGAATTTATATTATTATTTATCGTATTACCCTGTAGTTAAAAAGAACGTTGGGATCAAGGTTTTCTTTTTGATAGTTGGCTGTAATACAGCGTGTTTGAAAGCGGCCTGATGATGAAGAAGAGTTTAGTAAGTGTAAAAGACGAGGCCCAGTGATATGAAGTTTTCCTTTTAAAGATGGGGGGGGGGGGGCTATCTAGTTTACTGTTCCTGACACTCAGGACTGACAACCAGAACTGTAAAATAGCGCAGCTTAAAGAAGATTTGTCCAATCTGATTAACTTTGTTTGAAGCAGGATTTTTTTATAAAACTCTCCAGAAGTTCGGAGTTTCATTCGCTGCCAGTCAAAGTGGAGGGTTGCTTTCTCCAAAAGGAGGCGGGGCACAGAGTCCAGTTACTCTACTGGTAAAAATCCACGTCTTGTTTGACCAAGACCTACAAACAGATCGACTGTTTATTTGTATCGTTCTTCCTCTGAGTGCACTGACTGCACGTTACAGCCCTCGGTGCCAAAGATTCAGAAGCACCCACCAAACGGTGCCTTTAATTGGCTTTAATTGGTTTATGAGACGTGCCATCGTTAAGAGTACCAGTGAGCACTGGCCCAGTTTGAGTGCCAGCAGGAAGCTGGACAAGATGGAGCACAGTAATTATGTGCCGACCTCAAATCAGGTGGTTCAGACGATTTTTGGTCCAGTGCTCCTTTCCCAGCACCTTGTTCCAGATTCCAGTCCATTTACCTGTGTCCACCCTCTGTGTTCCCAGGTGTCCAGCTGTCCGTCCTCTGTCCAGCTGTTGTCCATCCTTCAGGCCTTGTTGATGGTGGATTCGGACCGAGCCGACATCTGGTTGGCTCTGGAGACGCTGACCGAGCGAGCCACCCTGCTGGCCCAGGACTGTAAGTCTTTAAGAGTAAATAAATCATCTGGGTCAGATGAGGGTCTTCAAGAACTCCGACAGCTGCCTGGCTCAGACTCTGATCTCATTATTTTCAGAAGTACCCTCACTCTTTGTAACAAAGTAACCCTGGGCTTAACTGGTGTGTTTGTGTTTTTGTAGCTGAGTCAGCTTCAGGTGACTCACTGCTTGATAGGCTCCTCCCCAAAAAATCTATTTCATCCAATCAAAAGATCAGAACTTTTGACAGGGGGGTACAGACTCTGCGGTCAGATGGCGCTCCTCGCCAATCAGAGCCACTCAGAGAAGGCACCGCAAAACTCATCAGTTCAGCATCGCCAGAACTGGCTCCACCCACTTCCACAATTTGTGCTCCCCCTTTACCTGGCGTCGGAGTTCCACCCCCTCCTCCTCCACCTCCACCTTTACCTGAAGTCGGAGTTCCTCCTCCTCCTCCACCACCACCACCTTTACCTAGCATGGGAGCTCCACCCCCTCCTCCTCCACCTTTACCTGGCATGGGAGCTCCACCCCCTCCTCCTCCACCACCACCTTTACCTGGCATGGGAGCTCCACCCCCTCCTCCACCTTTGCCTGGCATGGGAGCTCCGCCCCCTCCCCCACCTTTACCTGGCATGGGAGCTCCGCCCCCTCCTCCAGGTGACTTCATCACCGCCCAGAAGGCTCCAGGTACATTCGCTAGCCCCGCCTATTACATAAGCCCCACCCCCTGCCCGACCCTCAGAATGAAGAAGTTGAACTGGCAGAAACTCCCATCCAGAGCCGTGACACGTGAGTGTTCAGTGGTTTTGCTGCACACAGATCCAGATGTTCTGCATTGGACCAGGTAAAGACCTGACCTTCGTCTGTCTCTGCAGAAAATCAGTCCTTGTGGTCGTCGGCAGGCTCGGACGTCGTGGAACCAGATTACTGCTGCATCGAGCAGCTCTTCAGCCTCCCCCCAACAGAAACAAAAACCACAACCAAAACCAAAGCAGAGGCAAAAGAGGTGCCATTTTGATTTTATAAACCATTAAACAGATTATATCACTGATACATGCTGTGATGAAGGCTTGTTGTCCATTATTGTCCACTTGTTGTCCACTTGTTGTCCACTTGTTGTCCATTATTGTCCACTTGTTGTCCATTATTGTCCACTGGTTGTCCATTATTGTCCACTTATTATTCATTATTGTCCACTTGTTATTCATTATTGTCCACTTGTTATTCATTATTGTCCACTTGTTATTCATTATTGTCCACCTGTTGTCCACTTGTTATTCATTTTTGTCCACTTGTTGTCCACTTGTTATTCATTATTGTCCACTTGTTGTCCACTTGTTGTCCACTTGTTGTCCACTTGTTATTCATTATTGTCCACTTGTTGT